TATAAGTTAATCAAAATGTTGAAAATTGATGTAAATGAATCGATTTAACAACCGGTCATATCTAAATAAGAAAGCCCTACATTATCATATATCATTTGAATTACTGTATCTTATCATCATAAGATACAAACAATCATTTTAACGTTTGATGAAATTTTTCATAAAAGTAATAAACCAATTCGATAATTGCTTTTCTCTTTAGTTGAATTTGTTGTTTGATTTGTAACTGTTAGCTCCGGTTTTATTTTTCCTGTCAATTATCGTAATATTTAGCAATTTTTGTTTTTTTTTTTTGTTTCAAAAAATCTTTCATTAATAATTTAACTATCCATTCATTACTGAGATTCATCAACAATCATACTGTAAATGATATATTATCAAGATGACATTTGCCAGTTTTTCAAAAAACACTCACTAATTGTTGCAGAAACGATGAACAACAATGCTGTGACAATTTCAATTTTAGAGGATACTGTAAATGAATAATACATTAAATTTTGTTATTTAAATGTAACTTTAGGAATTACTAAATGATGAAGTTGCCTTCTTTCCGAAAATACTTGTATTAAATGTAAAGGACTTAAAATTAAGACACGACTTAGTTTCATCTTTGGTGATTGTTCCTTAAAAAGAGAGAGAGAGAGAGAGAGGAGAAAAAAAAAGAATAAAACGAAAAGATCAAAAATTATTCGTACAATTTCAATATAGCAAAAAAAATATTTCAAAAAATAAATAATGATAATTGGAAAGATACAAGAAAAGTCTCCTTTATCATATCACAACTGATAACAGATATTATCTTTTCTCTTAACAATAAACATTTGAACATTAGGACTATTTGAATTTTTCAATGCAACATATCGTTTTATATCAAAAATAGTCATCAAATTTACTGGACTGGTATAGTTTGAAATTTTTTAATCGCAATAATTCAAGAAAGATTAAATTCTTAAATATGATGAATAGAAAGCACAATAGATGAAGTAATTTAAAATCCTAGGACAAAGAGAGAGAGAGAAAGAAAGAGAGAGAGAGAGGGAGGGAGAGAAAAAAAAAGATGCAAAAAAAGAAACATTTATAAAAAGACTACCAGAAATGGATTGTCAACCGGATATAACCGTTGCTTTTTCTAGACGCTTTACGAAGCGGCATGCTATTTTAGTTGGTGATTCTGAAATCTTGATTTAATTGAAATACTTAATAGAGGAAATTTGAAAAAGTTTGATTTTAATGGCTTAATCTGACATAATTAGTAGCAGTTTGATTATTGAACCATTCTTACAGGATGTAAAATTTACTTCCGGAAAATAATGTAGTAATTCATTTCACTTACCGTCACCGTTTCGTAATTTTATTAGCCGATTGAAATGTGAACGATAAAACGTTTCATCCCACGTCTTTAATTATGTTTTTCGTATTTCTCTCTGCAATTTTCCGTATCCGTTAAATGTACTGTTGAAAACAATGAACAGAAATGATAATATCATCCGTAGATGAATACGGAAT